AGCCAGAAACTTAATTGTACATAATTGTTTTATCTCCTTGGCCTTATGCTGTAACTGGGAGCTCCATGTAATTTTTTTTTAAATTGTAATTCCACACCTAATCTAAATTTATTCGGTACTTTAACGAGACATGTTGTAGTCTGATTATGATTTGCAATTATTCTTGTATTACAGTACTACATTTTACATTCACATATACTCATGTGACTCTTAATTACTTAAAAATGTCATTTAAACATTGGCACACTAAATGTACTCGTTCAAGTTGTCATTCATAAAGATATATAATATATGTATTCATAATACATATATTACATTATGGCATTTACTTAGTTCCAATATTATGTCACGTATTTTGAGGCGTATGTTAAAATCCTTATATTTCTTTTTACTTAATACCATTTACACTGACTTAACGTTGGGTTAACATTAAGACGAATAATTAAAATATACTAGTCATTCTTCATCTTTGTCGTACAAAAATATTTCATATTTGAAACTATAGAAATTTAAAAAAAATTAGTTTTTAAGCTATTGTATTAAAAAGTAGTTGCATGATAATGTAGTCATACTTTTTACAATAAATGAGCTAGAGGGCCGACAATTTTAATACGTTTCGAGTTCAGTCAACAACTTGAACCTTGCAAATTTCAGATATTCTCGTTCAAAATATGGTCAGAAAAAAAATACCAAACCCAATAACTATTAAACTTATGTGAATCAGTTTATCTAGATAACTGAACAATCCTACGGGTAAAATAATTGGGAAACAGTCAAATCCGAATAGTTGCTAACGAAGATCATAGGATAATTGAAATTTAAAAAAATGTTCATATTCGAAACTTAATAACTATTTAATGTTTTCAGGTCGAAAGAATGCAAAAGTACTTCTATACTGGACAGTATCCGAGGGGTTTTATCCAATTGTTGAACACGTACGAGACATTGAGTCCTAACCCCATTAAATTAAGTGATGATGAAATTTTAATGCTGACTTTTAAATATGACCGCGAATCGCTGGACAGGAGAATTGTGACACAATTGAAATTTTACCGCAAGATTCAAGAAATACAGTGCATGAATTATGTACATCTAAGGTTCGTCTTACCAAAAGTCATGGTTGATGGTTCGAGGGGCGTTTCCGATTACGTGTATTATATGATAGACATGTCGTACAAAGGGAAATTTATAGTGACCAGATGGCTTTGGGAGTTGTATATAAAACTATTAGGACTGCGGCAGTCCAAATTAGAACCCCAAACATTTTTAGAAACACACTTAACAGAGATAAACGAAACCCTAGAAATAATGATAACGTCGTGTCGAGTAAATAAATATCTAAAGAAAGAGTTTGACTACTCCAATCAAGATGTGTTGATGAAAATGTATTTAGAAATGCATGACCGATCATATCAATATTTCATCGAGAACAAGGAATCTCAAAAACTGTTTATCCGTACCATTGAAAATTTTTTTGTGAGAAACCCATGGAAGATAAGAGCAGGTTGGTTTCCAGATCAACTTGGTTTTGAGACTGGCTTTGTTTTTGATTGGAAATACATATTTTATGTACTCGAAAATGAAATGGCTTTTATAAATGACAAACACGCTAAAGGAGAATGGATAACAAAACCGTCCAATTACATAGAATATCACGAACTAATTTTGGACGTCGTAAAAGCAAAATTGTATAGTTTTCTTTGGTTGCATTTAGTAGCTTATCAAAGAACAGGAATAAAGGCTATACAACATCATGAATTTTTTATAGATATATTAACAGTGGGTAGTGTTCTTCGTTTTGTTTATATTGAAGACCAAATACTTAACGAAGTACTAATTTTACTGAGTGAAATATATTTACCCGACGATAACAAGATAGATAGACTTGTAAAAATATTATCAAAGGAAGTAAATCATAATCTGGAAAATGTTTCCAAAACATTTTATCTACCATTAAGAGAGGTCACAATTGATGAAGCATTCGTTAATCAAAAATGTGAAAACGAAAATTCCGAATTCCTACGATACCAAGCATTGAGGTTTGAAAAATTCGTTGAGGATTCTATAGATATATTGAGTGGATTAAATTTAAGTCTTCTGTCATTTTACATAAATGGAAACAAAACCGTTAATTACTTTGTTTTCCCGAATATATTATAAATATATTTTCTTAAATTATCTGTTAAATAAAAAAAACATACACATGTGTTATTTTAAAATATTTACTAAATTAATAATGTTTACTAAATCTAATATGCCGCTGTACTAAAGAACTTAATGTACAATTATTTTGATTCATAATAAAGAGTTTTGTTGTATCTAGCTGATGTCTTAATAAATTATAAATCAAAACAAATTCATTTAAATAGTATCATAGTTCTAATCGTTTATACTATTAATTATAATACTTCCTAGTTGCTTTTTATAATACGATCGTTAAAAATTGAATTTGGCAAATAAAATATGATGATTTAGTTTAAATATAAATTAATGCATAATAAAGCTGGACTATAGAGGGTGTACAGTAAGTTCAGTAACGTGCAGTTTTTAGAGGTGATATTGATATTTTTCTAATATTGACCTTTAAAGGTGTTATTTTATGCACACTTAAGGCTTATAAACAAAATTGTACCTTAAGTAGTTAGCGCATGCGTAGTTTCTACTTTAAAATAATTAAGAATCCCCATATTCTTTGAGATATTTAAGTTGAAATTTTATTGTTATGCATTACTATAAATATTTGTCTGTTTAATATTTTGTGTGCGTTATTAATATTGCAAATTATTTAATTTCTGAAACTATAACATTTATTATTATGGTTTATTTAATACGTTATTATTTATTACCAGAGTAACTATTTTATGATTAGTTTATTTTTAAAACATTTTAAAACTAATATTGTTTAATCAAGTAGTAATATATGTAAAAATATAGCATAACTAAGCAAAAAAGAAGTTTAAAGTTATACAAATAAATAAAAAATAATTATATAATAAGATTTAATAATTATAATATTTGCTATTAAGTTAGACTTCCATCAATTTGTCTTAATAACTAAAAACTATATAAAAATAAACTTTAGCAAAATGGTTCCTCGCCACTGCCACAGACCATTCAGAAAGAAGATGAAATAGGTGAACCCCTTCCCTGAAGCACCTTGGCAGCAGTGAGATCTTTCTGTGTTAATTGTTTAATAGGATTTCCGACCTCACCCTTCCCGACTTGTATTACACGTTCCAAGAAAACGCGCAAATTAAACGGAAGTCAGATGAGATTCGAACGTTAACCTTTAAGACTGGAATTAGGTTTCTACTAAACGGGCCAGCAGCCATGATGACGTCATAGAACGATAACGACACTTGTAAGTCGATTCGTATCTTTTGTTATCATCGAAAAATTATTATCGTCACAATTTTTTCTTACTTAACAACCCCTATTTGATTGAAGAATATTTTCTGAATACACTATTTTTTTAATAGGAAAAATGTTAACAAAATCACCTAAAGTCAAACCACTGGTATAACTAAATAGCTAAAACAGTATAAAATATGATGTTTTTTGTAAAATATATTCTTTATTATACTACTTTTAAAAGTGCAAAGTGTGTCTGTAAAACATATAAATATCTGTAAATTTTTTTTTGTTAAATAGAAAAAAGTATTTTTTAATGATTCATCTTTAAAACCCAACGGCCACTTAAATAGCTGTCTTACACGCTAATATTTTAGAAGATCTACCATTATTACTTTTGTTTTATAAAAATTTTCAACATTTAAAGTTCTAAACAAATTTATTGTGTACACAATATGGATACATATAGATATATACATTTTAAATTTAATTTCTATTTTACCTATTATGCTGATCATATTGAATTCTTTAAATAATAACTTGTAGTAATAAATATAGTAGGTATCCAGTTACAAGCAAAATACAGAGTCGACAAAAAAAACCTTCCGTATTCAGAGATGGCACTATGTGAGTTGTGGTGGTGGTACAATGATGGAGGGGTATCGATCGATATCAGTATGCTAAACCAGTTTGCTAGGAACTATGATAAGGGAGAAGTCTGGTTTATTTGAAAATAAAATTTGACTTAAGGTTACTCTAATACTCTAATCAAAGTACAGCAAGAAATCTTACCCAGCATATTCCAAATCAAGCTCAGTAGAAATAAAACCAAAATATATTATTTTTGAATTTAAATAAAAAAGAATTATGTGTTTAGTTAAAGTTAATAACATTAATATTTAATTAATGAGTTATAAACTGTGAGTATGAATGTGCTATTTTTTCTCTTTACTTGTGTAAAGTAATAATAAAATAATGGAAGTTTAGATTTGTTTTATCGAATAACATGCAGAGAACTCCGCAACTTGGTAATTATTATTTAATACTTCTGTTTATTGTTTATATATCCTAATACAATAATTGAAGTATTTATAATCAATGCTAACACATACTTAACGAGTTATTTCTTTATAAAATAAAATTATTTAAAAACATTTCTTTCTTTAAAGAAAAAAATATACAAATACTAATTACTACTACTTATTATCTTAACGGCAATAGTGTTATATTAAAAATTGTTATTATTCTGACGATTTTAGATTGATAGAATAGAATCAAAACATTTTAATTATTACAATTGCGATTATATTTATTTAAGAAAAAATTAGGAATTGCTTTTTGGTAGTCAAAAGTTGGCGTCGAGTTTTTGAGGAAGAGGGAGATACAAAAAAAATGGTACTGTATAATAAGTTAGTAATTTGTACGCAAACAAATTATTAACCATTTTTTTTTCTTATCTAAGTAGTTTTTGAATAAAACTTGTGTAGGGCGTTAAAAGAATCACCTGTATATAACTTTCCTGTGTTAAAAACTTACATATTTTTAATAATTCCAATGCGAATAGGTAGTATAATATGCAATTAATTTTAAAATCGCTACACAAAGTACATTTGAACAAATATTTGCTCTAGAAGAACGACAGCGCCAAATTGATAACTACGTTTAATAGTTTAGTACTTTAGCCCATGACGAGGGTGAATTCGTTTTAAAATATTATACGTGTTCATTTTGGTCTCATTACATTTTCATAACTTGTCCAATTGCGAGTGCTAGTTTTCATCACTATGAGATTTCAATTGAGATTGATTTTTGTAATACTGAAGTTCGTTTTCTATTTACCGACAAACGTTAATGGCCGGGGCGATGAAGAAGTCGTTGAAGAATCATTACAAAGTAGAAATATATCTAATCATAAAAAATTGTACGACACGGTTGTACGCAGACCAACAGCCGCCGAAATAACCAATGCGATATCGGATCCGAATCTTTTTCAAGAAATTCAAGTAATCAAAAATAGTTCATTACATATATACAAATTACAATCCCTTTTAATTCCCGGGGTTATATTGGACACTATCGTGACGAAAATAGGATATTAAAATTAATTTAAAAAATGTCCACGGTCTCATTAGTATATGATTACAAGTATAGATATAAATTTTCAACTTAATAACATTTGTAATTGTTATAACAAATTTGTCTACTTCACTCAGTTTCATTACAGTTCAAAAACTGTTATTATGTTGAAATTTTATACTTGCACTTTTAATCATACACTTGAGAGATCCTGGAAAAGTAAAATTAATTTTTTGAACATTTTTAAATAGCCTATTTTAAATTTCATTCTCAGGCCACTGTGTACCGATGCGATTTACAATTCTGTGGTGTTCGGGCAAAGGTGGATAAGTGTAAAATCGCAACTTTTGGAATCACTGAAACTAAATCATTTCAGTTACATTTAATCCCATTTTTCACGTGTGAATACTAATATTAAAATATCATCCTATGTCCTATGTCCTATGTATTAGTATTCACACGTGAAAAATGGACTTAAATGTAACTGAAGTGATTTAGTTTCAGTGATTCCAAAAGTTGCGGTTTTACACTTATCCCCCTTTGCCCGAACACCACAGAATTTTTCAGAGACTAAAAAATGCATTGTTATTTTAATCTAATCCTAATACAATTGATTCATCTTATTATATAGCGCCATCTAGTGTCTGTAGTAAAATAATTCCGTGGCGTGGTTCGTCAAGCCACGTATTTATTTGGTGTGATCCTACACGTCAATAGTTTTAAATCTTAATTTTACCCATTTTCCACTCCCTCCACAGGTGCAAATTTTTTTATTTTTATAGTTTGCACCTTTTAGTTGAACATTATTCAGGAGTTACATTATATATTCATAACATACTCTACAAAGAAAAAATATGGATTGCAGTTTTTTTTTTAATCGCCGGAAAACTTTTTATTGGCAGATTTTGTATACTCTAACATAAACACGTTAAATCGAAAAAAAAATAATCAAATCGTGCCAATATTTTTATGGACATCTACTTAGGTTGAGCCTAGTAAGTTTTGAGTAACTAAGTACCAGTTTTAGGTTTCAATTTTTGTTCTTCATTTACGGTGACCAGATGTAAGAAACGAACAAATTATAATTATTTTCTTTTGGCATCGTCGTCAACCTGATCGCCAAGTTCAGCCTGACTCAACAACGACACAGGAGATCCCAAGATAGCGCCCTTCATCTATACTCTATCCTAAAGTATTTTACTAAAATACTTTATTGAATAATAATAAATAACACAAAAGTGTTATTGTAACTTGCCATTTACTAATAAAAATATTAGTAAATTCTTTAATTTTAAGTAACCAAATACTTATATGTTATTAAAAATTGCCGTCCGACAACTACAACTGTTAACATGAAGTTGTTATATTATTGATAATAATGTTAAACGCTTATTATACATTCCACTGTAACATATTTACATATAACATTGAGAAAACCAATAATATAAAACTAGCCAATATACACTACAATAGATTTCACAACCAATTCACAAATTACAAAAGTCTTATCTCTCCAATGTACATAAGATAAAAATGATCTTATCTCTCAAATACTAATAATTTAAATATACCTACTAGATATTCTTCATCATCGTCGTACAAGAACATTTCATATTCGAAATTTATTTCAAATTTAAAAAATAGATAATCCTCGTTCAATAAATCGTGAAAAAAAATTAGAATTACTGCCAAACCAATTTGAATCAGTTCATCTAGACAACTGAACAATCATACTAGTAAAATGTTAGGAAACAATTAAAATCCGCATAGTCGCCATTGATGGCCATAGGATAAATCAATTGAAAGAAGTTAGTAAAGTGGGGTCGGGGCATATTGGGGACGGAACATAGTGGGTTTTGGGCGCAGTAGGGTCGGGCATAGGGGGGCCCGGAGAGGTCAAAGTCTTACAGGAATTTTTACAACTGAAAGTTATAAAATCATTTTCAAATAAACTTTTTAATGCAAATCAGTAGTTAGTAATTTCAAACCAGTAAAGTCCAAACCAAGCACATTGTAAACCAGCACAGTAAGAAAGTATTAAGGTGAGTTGCAGTGTTTATAACCCAACTGTACTGGCTCTTTTATTGTTCAATTTTTTTAAAAATGTAAATGGTCTTTTACACATAAGAACACAAAAAAAAAACTGTGCAAAAACCCAATCAAAAATTAAAATAATAAAAACAAAAATTTGTTATTGTTCAGCTAAATATTGTTCTTTCCTTAATCTAGACGGAAAACTGATTAATTTCCCATAACCCCTGAAGTCTTCAGTAATCGCTCGTCGGTGACGTTGTCGAAAGACGAAATTAAAGTAATAATAAAGTACATTTTTACTAATTTCAATTCTTTTATCGCACTTGACCGACCGTAAAATATCGTGCGCCATAATATTTTCTTCTATAGTACAGAGCTATCCACATTATGTATAGTCAATGATTTTACTCAGTAACGCAACTAAAATAAAAGCAACCTTTTTTTACAGGCGTGATTTATAGATAATACATGATAAACTATTTTATCAAATGATGGCATTTCACATAACATTCGGGTAGACGATGATAATAACAGAAAATAAGAATAATATTTTCGTTCCTCACATTTGGTCCACCGTAAAATTAGAAAAAAAAAATTAAAATCTAAATCTTGTACTTTGGTACTCAAAACTAACTAGGACCACTCTACTAAATAGATAACCATAAAAATATTGCCACAATTTGTAATTTTTTTTTTAAGATTTGATGTGTCTATATTAAAATATAAAAAATCTGTAATACAGTTTTCCGTCAAACTAAATGAAACTGGAATCTCGAATTTTTCCTTCGTTAATTATGTTTTGGTTATATACGGATTTTAACTCCTCACTAAAGTCCTAAAATTACGGCTAAAAACCACAAAAAAAACACAAAGGGGAGGGCAATGGGTATATTTTTAATTTGTGACTATTGACGGTTACGGGCATGCCAAATATATATTCCTCGTAAAATTCAACTGGATCCGATCCTTTTTTTCGAAATTATAGCCAGTAAAAAACTAAAATTTTAAAAATCTTATGGTTTTTTTGTTTTTCCAAATTTTAAGGGTAAAGAAGTGGATTTTTTCATTTTCTGTGTATACCGACACAAAAAATGCTCACATTTTTGTAATACCAATAGCATCGAAGTTGAAAAATTGTATATTCAAAACTTAACAACCATTTAATATTTTCAGGCTGAAAGTTTGCATAAGTTCTTCTTTACTGGACAGTATCCAAGTGGCTTTATCCAATTGTTGAACACGTACGAGACATTGAGTCCTAACCCCATTAAATTAAGTGATGGTGAAATTTTAATGCTGACTTTTAAATATGACCGCGGATCGCTGAACAGGAGAATTGTGACACAATTGAAATTTTACCGAAAGATTCAAGAAATACAGTGCATGAGTTATGTACTTCTAAATGTCGTCTTACCAAAAGTCAAGGATGCCGGTTTAAAGAGTGTTTCCGATTACGTGTACTATATGATAGACATGTCGTACAAAGGAAAATTCGTAGTGACCCCTTGGCTTTGGGATTTGTATATAAAACTTTTAGGACTACGGCAGTCCAAATTAGATCCCCAAACATTTTTAGAAACACACTTAACAGGGATTAACGAAACCCTACAAAAAATGATAACGTCGTGTCGAGTATATAACTATCTAAAGGAAGAGTTTGACTACTCCAATCAAGATGTGTTGATGAAAATGTATTTGGATATGCATGACCGATCATATCAATATTTCATCGAGAACAACGAATCTCAAAAACTGTTTATCCGTACCGTTGAAAATTTTTTTGTGCGAACCCATGGAAGATAAAAGCGGCTTGGTTTCCAGATCAACTAAATCTTCAGACTGGCTTTGTCTTTAATTGGAAGAATATATATGATGTACTCCAAAATGAAATGGCTTATATCAATGACCAACACGCTAAAAGAGAATGGATAACACAACCGTCGAAATACATAAAATATCACGAAATAATTTTGGACGTGGTACTAGCAAATTTTTACAGTTATATTTGGCTGCACTTAGTTGTTTATCAAAAAACTGGAATTAAGGCTCTACTATATCATGAAGTGTTTATAGATTTATTAACAGCGAGTAGTGTACTTCATTTTATTTATATTGAAGACCAAATACTTAACGAAGTACTAATTTTACTGAGTCAAATATATTTACCCGACGACGAGAAGATAAATGAACTTGTAAACATATTATCAGAGGAAGTAAATCGTATTTTGAAAAATGTTTCTGGTCCAAATTATCCACGATTTAGAAAGGCCATAATTCATGAAGTATTCGTTATTGAAAAAAGTGAAAACAAAGTTTCCGAATTTCTTAAGTACCACGCTATGAGGTTTGAACAATTCGTTGAGGATACTATAGATATTTTAAGTGGATTCAATTTAAGTCTTTTGTCATTTTACATAAACGGAAACGAAACCGTTGATTTTGTTTTCCCGAATAAAGGTACTGTACTATAATCTGTATAATAAGAAAAACTTATTTAAACTTTATTTTAAAACAATTTAACTGTTTACTAAATGTAATATGCCTCTTTACTAAAAAAAATAATGTACGCTTATTTTGATTCATAATAAATATTTTTATTGCATTGAGCTGATGTATTAACAAATTATAAATCAAAGCTGTTCTATATATTAATAGGTTCTTTGTTTATGTTGTGCTTGTAAATCTTGCACTTCGGTCACTTACAGATCGTCATATCCTCACAAGGAGATTCATTATGATTTATCATTCATAATTAATTACATAAATGTTCACTTTTTAACTAATAATTTTCATTTTATTTTAATTAAGGAGAGATCATTTTCAGATTTAAATAATTAGAAATCAAAAAGATTTGTTACAAGTTAATTTTAATAGATAACAAAATAAATAAGAGGTTTGTAAGGAATAATCAATAAAAGAAAGAACAAAGGTTGACATCGAAAATCCAATTATAGTTTGGTGATCGCAACACTTAGGGTTTGACGATGGAAACTCTTCATAGTCCTACCTACCTTCTAGTCCTAAATGTTAATCATTGACTTGAATGTAGTTGTCAAAATATGGTTATCGACCAGTCAGCATTTTCAGAAATGTATTCTTAATAAATATAGTTTCAAAATAACTGTAAAATTCCAATTCTTATCCATGATTTTCAATGGTAAAAACCTGTTCATACAAAACGGATAAAAGTATTTTTCATAGTGATTTTCGAGATATCAACTTTTGATATAAATTATAGAGTACAATTTTTGAGGAAACCTCAGATACTTTTTTAAAATATCAACAGGTAAAATTAATTTTAGGGAGGAGGGTATTGAACGTAGTAAGTGCATACGTTCCATCAATAGGATGTGAAAAACGGTTAAAAGAAGAATTCTGGCAAGAGATGGATAAGGTGGTGCAAGGAATACCACGACAAAAGAAAATTGTGATCGGTGGTGATATGAATGGACATTAGGGGAGTGATAGGACAGGTTATTAAAAAGTACACAGAGGTTATGATTTTGGAGAGAAAAATGATATAGGAGAGAGAGTATTTGATTTTGCGTAGACCTATGAGTTGGCAGTTGTGAGTACTTTTTATTGGAAGAGAAAAGAGCATTATACAACTTATAACTGTAAAGATTGAAAAGTAATTTCAGATAAAAGTGTGGTAACGCAGCATAGGTTAATAGTCTTAGATTTCTGGTGTGAAAAAAAGAGGGTAAACAAAAGGAAACAGCTGAAAAATAAAATTCCAACAATTAGGTAGCGAAAGTTCACAGGCCAAAAAGAAAAGTAATTTGTGAAGAAAATGAAGGAAGAGTTAATGTGGAACATGGAGAGAAATGTACATGTAGATGAAATTTCGAATAGGGTAGTAAATGATATAAAGAAATTGGCAGTGGATGTTATAGGCGAGAGTAAAAGTAGTATGTAGCAGGATAAAGAAACGTGGTGGTAGGATGATTGAATAATAGTATTGAGAAAAAAGACTCAGTTTAAAAAACTGCAAAAAGACAGTAGGGAAGAGGTATTGATTGGAGTACCTAATATTAAATAAAGAAGCAAAATGTGTAGTTAGGGAAGCAAAGTTCATAAAGTATGATGGTTTGTATGAGAGATTGGAAACAAAAGAAGGGGAAAAGAAAGTGTAAAAATTGGCCAAGATTCTAGAAAAGAGGTCCAGAGATTTTCAGAATGTGTGATGTATGAAAAAGGAAAATAAAGAAGTGCTGACGTGTTATTAAGATGTAAAAAAGAAATGGAAAAGTACTTTGAAAGGCTATTGAATGAGGAATTTACAAAGTGGGAGGATGGAGAGCAGGAAGCGTGGAATTTAGGTATTATAGATTTAAATTTTAGTGTAAGAGTAAGTGCGCATCAAGGTTCAGCGTTTAGTCGTTACTTGTTCGCTTTAGAAATGGACGAGATTACAAAAGATTTACATTGGATCCATATAAGTATAGTATTGAATCAAATATAGTATAGTATAAAAATTGTAGTCTTATTATTTTCCATACAAAACTCAGTAAAGAAATAATATTATAGTTCATGCAATATTATGTTTCATGCTACGCGACAATACACAACTGAGTAAACTAAAAATATGCATCACATATAAATCCAAACGTAGTTAACACAACATAATATTTATTGTCATTTTTTTTTCGGGACACTATATTATATTCTTTAAGAGAGGATTATTTCTGTTGAAATAAACTAATAAACTGTGTTGTGTAGTATCGATTTTCAATAATGTTCACGAAATCGGTGTACTGGATATTTTGCGTTTATTTATTATTAGCAATAGTGCCATCAAAAAACTGCTTACCAGACAAGCTGTCTTTGAGTCTTATGAATAAACTGATCGGATCTCACAGTTTGAAAATACTTAAAGAAAATCAAGTGAGAATTGATAACGCAAAAACATCGCTGGTGGCTGTACTCGGTCCTAACCCAAATCAATGGCTTGTCGACCAAGACAATTTTGAAACCGTGTCGGCCGTAGTTTTCAGCGTATTGTTCTGTGCTTATTCGAAGAAAGTGTATTATTTAATAGCGAGTGGGCAAATTCTGTTAGAGAAATGTACCGCTTTGGCAGATGGTAATACGAATTTGTACGAGTGCGTGGAAAACGTTCAAACCCATCTGAAAACTTTCAAAGATTTCGTGCGTAACTTGTTGACGATCATGTATCAATCTGCGAAAAAAACCAAAGTAGCATTCGATAAGAATTTCATGGGCACACTATTATCCGTACACTTGTACTTGCACAACGACGGTATCTATTTGGATCCATTTCATGGTAACGTTGTTAATCCACTCACAAACGTTCGTCTTGTAATCGAAAGACTGACTCGCACTCACAATTACATAATGAACCAAGCCGAAGCGTATACAATAGAGCGGTGTTACCCGTTGAGATTTGACTCTAACGAGTTACAGTTTTCCACTGGAGCTAAGTCAGCAAACTTAGAGGATAAACTTCCGATTAGCGAAATCAACACAATGGAAATTTCGCTGACAGACCACCTTCGAGTTGAAGAACATTATCTCGACGAATTGGACATCGGTGATGCGAGCAATGAACGTGATCTGTTCAACCTAGACACGTTGATGCTGAATAAATTGTTGGATATCGAATTGGTAAGCGGTATAAAAGAGACGGCATTAAGGTTTATGAAATTGCAATGGCCTTACGTGTTCACGACATTGGAACAAGTTTATTTGTACGTTTCAGCCGACTACCATTCTGATTCAATAATTAAATGCCAAGTGTTGGTCATGGAAACCATAGCGTCAGTGATTTTTCACCTAGTATCGAGTGTACTTAATTCGATAGCAGATCACACCCAATGTGATCCATTAGTAAAAACTACACTTAACGCGTTAGAGTTTTTGGAGAGTTTTAAATTTCCGGGACGGATAGAAATTGCAATAAATCATATTAATCTCTATATTCAAAATCTATTTTTGATGAAATCTATTTTATTCAGTGGTTATTTTTCACTTTCAACTGCAACTGAACAATTTATATCCAAATTAATAATTTCAGGAGACTCGAAGGCATACGATTCCGGAAGCAATTTAACAGCCATACTATTTAATTTCATAAATAACATTGAACAAATCAGACCAGACATTGCTATATTGCTTGAAACCAATAAAGATCTTTGTGACTACGAGTACGAGTACAGTGGATTTTTGCAATCTAAACCAGGTAAACGACAATTGCCAAAATTTCATGACCATTTTACATCGTTCAACTGTACCGGTGCCAAGACTATGATTAAACATTTGCTATTCAGTAATTACCTGCTTGATCAATGCAAAATATTGGAAAATGACAGTTACGATTCGAATAGGACCGAAAAAGGAACTAACATTAATATAAATGTTTGTATTAATAAAATAATAAGCTACATCAAAAGTAACACTATTGAAAAGAACATAATGCATTTTTTGGAAGCGATTATTGATTTCTTTACCCATTTACCCAACTTCGATGGCAATGCAGTAGTACCTATAAATCGTAAGTTGATAGAGTCGATTTACGCATTCATTTTATTTTTACACAGCCCAGCGACGATGTACGTCGAAGCTGATGATGCACTCGGTAAAATTGAAGGGCTAAGACGATCTCATTTGTTTATTATTAATCTTGTCATGCAGTTTACCATTGATCATTGTCAAGTTTCAAGTACAAAACAATTACACAAAGAGTTATGCAATGATCATATAAACGAAGCCTCTGACAAAGCTGTTAACGATATTTTAAAAAAAGTAGAATGTATGTGCGAAACTATAAATGTCAATTCGAAGAATATTCCTAATGCCATTGATATACTCGAAACATCTGTTGGATTTATGAGAATAAAAACTCATAAATTCAATTTTCAGATTTTATTAATCGATGTGATTATTGAAAAGTCATTTTTACCCTCAAACGGGTTTTCATTGTTGCACGATATCAGAACAATTTGGAAAGGAAAATCGAAAAGTTTAATAGAAGTACACAGTATAGTTAAACATGAACTTAATCCAAAATACTTATTTAGATACCAATTATTAATGATTAGGACGGTTGCTTTCATAGCTTACGAAAAAATGAAAGATGTTGTTTTTAAAATACAAATTAGCAAAGGAAAGGTAATTAAGGAAAACCATTTAAAACTGATCAATGAAAAAATTAGCGCAATCACCGATTCACCATATCCCGATCATATAATGGTTTTTTTTTACACTGTTTACCAATTTTTTTATGACTTTTTGGAAGATACCGAGACATTTGAATATGGAGACAAAGTTATCGAAGCGATAAACTCTGTACAATCCAAATTAGAATTATATTTGATACCACCGGGTAAAACAGTTGCACCACTGTTCGATAACAATATAGATAGGAATGATTTGAAAGTTGCTTCTGAAAACTCAAAATCGAAGAATTCTTTGGAAATCACTGCCGCTGAAAACTTGAATAATTCCAATAACACTACGGCAAACGGGCAAAAGACACTAATTCAGCCCGTAGTTGCTGAGGATATTTCAAAAATAGCAGAACTTGACGAAACAGCCGTGAATTCTATTCAGCATTTCATTGACTATCTAAATAATGTGATGGAAG